ATTACTTTTAATTTCTGAAAGCCACAGGTGTACAGCTCTGGAAGATGCTGAATATTCCTAATGATGGACGCTTTGTGTGTCTTTGTAAATCCCCACTGCCTACAGCGGCAGTCTAGTACCTGAGACACAGCAGAAGTTAGAGCAGGCTGGAAGTGCAGAACTGAAGCAAGAGTGATGATAAAACAAGGTTGAAATCAAGAACCTTTGTGCAGACTGTCTTGTGGAAACCAGGCATGAAGCAGGCTGCATGGCCACAAATCACTGAGCCAAGCACCAGAAAAATGTTTTATCAGTCTTTTCCCTCCCCCAGAGACGAGGGAAGACCCTCTGCCGACCCAAGATCTACCCTGAGGACTGGGTGGAGGATTAGCAGACAAGGCCAAGGAATAGCTGGGCCAGAGCCAGGATGATACATATATCATGACTGACTTCTCTGGGCCTGAGGGGAGCCCTTGCTTGGGAAAACAGTTTTCCAACAACTGCCCGAATTTCCATCACTGGTTCCTATGGTCCTGCCAGCGGTCCCCATCTGACCTGCCCAGCATGATTATGAGAAGCTCAACTTTTAATAACTCAACAACTCATGTGCCCAGGACAGAGATCTGGGCTCCAAAAGAACGCGCCTGCATGGCGTGATGAAGCACAGAGATTTCTGAGCCAGCGCGGGCACCACATCACATGCAGCCCTGCCAGCTCAACACTATGTGGGCTGCTGCTTTGTGATGTCCTAATCCTTCACCTGCTACAAATAGACTCAGTGTACGTGCTGCCAATACATGCTATAAATCCCATAAGGTACAGGGGATGAAATAACAGCTATTACCAAAGTGGCTGCCCCTTCTGAGGCCACAGATTGTTTTCAGTACATTGGACTGACACCTCTAGAAAAAAATAATGAAAAATTTAAAATCATTCTTCTTCCATCAACTTCCCTGTACGCAGGCTAGGGTAACACTATAAGAACCACAGTCACAAGCTGAAGAAATGATAATAAACATAAGAAAAGCAAGAAATCCTTGATTATATATAGGGAGATTGGGAAGACAGCCAAAACCAAGTTGAAAATCCATCAGTTCTTATGTCTAAGGATACTTCTAAGAATGCATTGTGTCTGTTTCCTTGAAAGAAAGGGAAGAGTTGGCATAGGCTTCTATAGGAGCAGGATATCACCCTTCAATGTTTTTAACCAGTCAGTGTGGCCTACAAAAATTGAGATGTAGATCCTAAGAAAAATGGGAAGTGGGTTGGACAGACAGAATTTTGCTTTTGATGTGCTACCCAGACATTTCCACAGTTAACTGTATCTGGATGTCTACTATGATTTTTATCTGTGGAAAAAACAAAACCCTAAATAAGATACACCATATATGGCAAGACTGTTGCTTGGGCTGCTAAAGACAATCCGAAAGACTGTTTATTACAGCTAATGAAAGCCAAACTCAAAGTGCAAAGTATGATACCTTTCCCTTGATTTATTTTCAAAGATAATATGGATGTGGATAATTTCAGGCAAGTCTGCTTTCTTCAACATTTTGGCAGGCACTGCTTTCCTACAGAGGAGCACTAATTGTTTTGTGTGTGTGTTTCTGGTTGAATTGTCTCTCCACAAAATCCTTCTTTCTAAGCATTATCAAAATAATACAAACTAAGACACTCTAACAAAATAGTTACATTAGGCAAAGAGCTGCACATGCCTGTGAGAGTTTCTTTTATAAACGTTTAGCAGCTGCTCAAGAATATAATACTCAAAACACTTTTCTTACTGTCCTGGTTTCAGCCAGGATAGAGCTGGTTTTCTTCACAGAAGCCAGTGTGAGACTGTGTTTTGGATTTGGGATGAGAAACTGTTGATAATGTGCTGATGTTTTGGGTTGTTGCTGAGCAGTCAAGGACAGTCCAGCTTCTCGTGCTGGCCTGCTAGCAAGGAGGCTGGGGGTGCACAGGGAGCTGGGAGGGGACACAGCCGGGACAGCTGACCCAGACTGGCCAAGGAGATATTCCCTACCATACGATGTCATGCGTGGAGTTGGCCGGGGGCGGAAATCGCTGCTCAGGGACGGGCTGTCGATCGCCAGGTGGTGAGCAATTGCTGTATTGGGCATCACTTGTTCTTGTACACTCCTGTGTTGGTATTATCATTGTTGTTCCCTTCTTTCTTTCTGTCCTATTAAACCGTGTTTATCTCAACCCACGAGGTTTTTTTTCCTAATTCTCTCCCCCACTCCACTGTGGGAGGGGGAGTGAGCGAGCGGCTGCGTGGTGCTTAGTTGCCAGCTGGGGCTAAACCACGACACTTACCCACTTCAAGATTGTGTCATTGTCATCTTTCTGCTAGTACAGCCAGAACTACCTGATTTAATAAAGCAGGCACTGACTAGCAAAGGTCAGTGTGTTACCAGCCAGATATCCATCACATACCCATACTGGTAGCTTTTGTAATGTTTTGTATATTTAAAAAAAATATTTTATTTTTTAAAAATATATTCTTCTCCTGATAAGCTGCAACTCTTTTAGAAAGTCTTCCTGGCACATAATACTTTTCTAACTCAGTTGCCACATGTCTACAGAAGTACATTGCATTCTGTGTATCATAATGTAATTTATAGTAATATAAAATTTGAGATGCAGCTCGACAGAAATCCAAGAGTCTGTAACTTGGTCCATTTGTTCTACATCATTGTGACAAACATGTTTTTTTAAGAGGTCTCCAATGAATTATGTGCCAGAGTGTTCTTTACCATCTAGACTGCTTGAATTCAGTATGACTAATTCAAACATAAGAAATTCTAGGGCTTCCCTGTTAAGTATGTAATACATGTGAAGTACTTAAAGTATCTATTATGACTCTGGTCCACATCCTGCTTGCATGAAATAAAGGGAAGTTCTGGCATTGACTTCTACTGAAGCTGGACACTGTCCTGTGACGTTTTAGTTCAGATAAATCATGATTAACATAATTTTAACTGTGTTCTTTGATGGCATGAATTTAGAGTGAGTCTTCAGGCTAATCATAAGATGTTTTCTAATATTATTCACCATGCTGGTTGAAAACTATACCAAATCATATTAACTGTGGATTAGTCACAGAATCGCAGAATGGTAGCGGTTGGAAGGGACCTCTGAAGATCATCTAGTCCAACCCCCCTGCCAAGGAAGGATCACCTAGAGCAGGTTGCACAGGAATGTGTCCAGTCAGGTTTTGAAGGTCTCCAGAGAAGAAGACTCCACAACCTCTCTGGGCAGCTTGTTCCAGTGCTCTGTCACCCTCACGGTAAAGAAGTTTTTCCTCATGTTGAGGTGAAACTTCCTGTATCAGATTGTAAACTTAAACACAGTAGAACAGTTAAATTTACCTTAAAGTTACCACTGAACATCTGCCTCTGAACACTTTTGCTAGTACCTTTTAACACTGATAGGAGGGAATAACTTTAAGTTTGCTTCACAAGGAGATAACAAATTAAAAAAAAACAGCTTCAAACATTGTTTAATCAGCATAATATCTACATGTTTAAACACAAGAACTAATAAAACATGCTGCTTTTCGTGTCAGCCACTTACGGCAAAGGGCCCATGCACGCTTCATGTATTAAGGCCTCCCCTGGATTACCTGAAACTCTGAGATCTCCCAACCCAAATAAATATTTTCATTTGGTATGGTTGGGTAAGCCTCCTGGATTTCGTATTTTGTAGTAACCAGAGTCTAGGAAAAGATTGTGCTCTTGTCAAACTCTTGGCTTACACATAGTGCTAGGCGTGGGGTACAACTGACTTCTCGCTCCTCTCCTTCTTCCAAGGACGATAATTGTTGGCTGCATGACACCCCTTATCAGTTCAATCTTTGGTTGTTTTTTGATAAGTTCTGTACACTCCTAACAGACTCCTGCCAACTTGGACTGGGAGAGTAAACAGACATTAAGGATCTGCTTTTCCTTACAAATCCAGCCTCAGCTTCTGAAGGAACATAAGGACATTCAAGCCCAAGCAAGTCCAAGTCACAAGTGAGCAGTTTGCAGCCATTGAGTAATGGAAAGCCAATGTAAAAAATACAAAACATACAGTATCTCTAGCCAAAGTAAAAGACAAATGATACATCAAGTCCTGAAAGTGTGTTTCACAGCTTCAGCTGTGCTCAGACTGTGAAATACCTGAGCACTGCTGCAATAGGAAAATATAAGCCATACATATTGTCACTGACACAAAATACTGCACACAATATGGCAGAAAACAAAATCATATCCACTTGCCAACAAGTTGGGTTTGCTTCTATTTTTGTTATTAGAAATTAAGAACAAGTCTTGCAGTAAATTAAATCCATCAGACCGTGGGGGACCTGAGATCAGTCCAGAATATGATGCAGGATGTCTTCATTACTAAAATTCATACCAAAATCTAAAACCAAAAAACTTTGTGCTCTGATACCTCAAGTGAAAGTGTAATTAATCGTCATAACAAGAATTCACACCATGTTTTACTGAAGGAACTTGCAATATGTGACTGGATGCTGAACAAAGCAGAAAATTGAAATACTGAAATGTAAATTGTCATTACTTTCCAGGTGTAAGATTTTGGTAAGATTAACTGAGTAGTCCATAGCTGTTTACTGGCCATTGATTTGACCTGTCTGCACATTTCTGATGACAACATTATATTGGGTTTTATTGCCATTTATATTGGGTTTTGTATAGCCATGCATGAGGCTCTTATGACCTAGGTAGGACCACTTACCACTGCAGGGCAAAAATCAATCTGCCTAAATCTGTAGTGAGTCCTACTAATATCAAACAACTAGACTCAAGTATAAAATCCTGATTTCCAGAAACCGAACTCTCTTCGACATCAGGTAAACCCAGCTCTCCCCACAAATCTAAACTGAAGCTTGGGTACCAATCTCCATCCACTAAAGTTTCAGACCCTGATGAAAATACTTCTTTTCTATCCAGGATGCAATGTTTTCGAGTGACAACGAGATTTCACCAGAAGAGACTGCCCGTTTGCTTTACCTGCATCAGCGGCTGTGATCAGTAGTACATACTGCTCCTTCGCCTCCCGGTCCAGGCTCTGCACCAAGCGCAGCTCTCCAGTAGCAGAGAGAGTGAAGGCTCCTTCTTCATTTCCAGCCACCAGCACATAAGTAAGCTTGCTGTTTAGGCCTTGATCATCGTCCCTTGCTACAACCTACAAAACCAATGCAAACATGTGGGAAGAAATATCACGAACTGATGAGTGCAGGACCTGTAAAATTTTATTGGGATACAGGAAATATTCTTTATGACAATAATCCAAATTAATAGACTGAATTAATCCAAATGCTTTAAGGGCTAGTATAAATTAACTGTAATTTTGTACAAAACACTTAACACAGTGGTGATGGACTTAAAAGCATAGTTTGTAAATACTAAATAGTCGATTGCTTATTTTTCTCAAGCACAAATACAGTAATGACTGTATTGGGGCTCAGTGAAAACCACAGATGATCTAGTGTAGGCTGAGCTCCGCACCAAAGCAAGCACTGCATGTCCTGAATCCATTTAGTGCTCTTTCAGTGTCTGGCACAGAGCCTCATCCCATGTAGGCATTGATCAGATTGAGAGATTTGTTGCATGAAAGTTGAGATTGAGATGTGAGATAGAGCAAACTCTTAAAGTCCCAGTGTAGGTGGGAAGTTAGGTAGGGAAAAGACAAACAAAACTCCAAAGCATAACATAAACTTCTGGTAAAAGAATCAGCAAAAACAAACAAACCCCACCCAAACAAAGAGGAAAACAAGCCAACCACCACTGTATGTTATATTACAGCCAAGAGGAAACTTTTCAATTGTCTTGCACTTTTTTAATTTTGGAGGAAACACACTATACATTAATATCATACAATAAGACATGCTAATAATTGTGGGAGAAACATATTTATTTGCTGAATGTACTCACCTGAAGAATAACTTTTGGGAGTGTCTCTAAATTCTCAGGGACGTTCACAGAGTAGGGAGAAAGTTCAAATGTGGGAATATAATCATTGACATCCTTCAGCATAATACTGACTGTCGTGGTATCGGTCCTTGGGCTGCTCCCACGGTCGGCTGACTGAACAGTCAATGTGTAGGAAGGCTTTTTCTCTCTGTCCAAAGGCTTGGCAACTGTTATCACCCCTGTCACAGAATCGATTCGAAACTCATTATTGGCATCTCCGCTCACAATAGCGTAGCGGACCTGCCCGTTTGTACCTTCGTCTCCATCCGTAGCAAATACCTGGATTAAATCTGTCCCTGTCAATGTATTTTCCCCCACCTCTACTTTATAAAGCTTTTGGGCAAAAAGCGGGTTATTGTCATTAATGTCCAGAACTATAACCACCACATCTGTAGATGAAGAAAGGGATGGCTGACCCTTGTCTGTGGCTACCACAGTCAAGGTGTAGTTGGACACGGTTTCTCTGTCAAGCTCCCCAGTAAGCCTCACTTCACCATCAATAGTGCCAATGCTGAATTTATTTCCCAGAGGCCGGAGCAGACTGTATTCGATGTAGCTGTTTGGACCGCTGTCGGGATCGGTCGCCTTTGCTTTGAACACGATTGTATCTATTGGCGTGTTTTCTGGGACGTAGGTCAGCTTCGGGGAGATAAAGCTTGGAGGGCTGTCGTTCACATCCAGCAGAATAATTGAAACTTGGGCTGTACTTGTGTACCTGGAGGCCAGGAGAGGGGCCATGTCATGGACTTGCACGACGAGGCTGTAGAAAGACTGGCTTTCCCGGTCCAAAGGCTGCCTGATGCTCAGCACCCCACTGTTGTCAATGCCAAACTGCCCTGCACTGTCCCCGGATGCGATGCTGAAGGACAGCTGTGAGTTGGAGCCTGGTGACGTGGGGAGAAGAAAGGTAGAGAACATGACTTCATCCCACTGACCTAGAAATAAACATTTCTAGCCTTGTTTCCTATGGAAATGAGGACTGTATGATTGTGCTGCCTGTTCAGCCTCCTCATCACCATATTTGAATCCCAGCTAATTTCATCCAAATTTCACAGTGGAGCAGAAGCCTTTGAAGTAATTATTTTCTGATTGGGGTGGGGGGGATGTGGAGGGAAGGATGTTAACTGGAGCGGCCACAGAGGGAACGACCAGCAGAGCTCATCTCTGCATTTCCTTCAGGAGGAGCG